TGTCTGTCTTGATAGAAAAGAACGAACAAAATGCTAAGTATAAGCAGTACATTTTAATGATAGAGATACAAGTAGGGTAAAAGTAAAAAGATCTTATCATGTAAAATTTGGGAGAGCTTTAATAATATCGGAACAAGAACGATCATCAAGGATCATGCTGTGATGACGAAGTGTCCTTCAACATGAAGAGATAGCCTTTATGCATCTCGTCGCAGAACCGCAAAACACAGGGCACAAGCTGAACGATCTAGATGGATAGACAAACCCACTACAGCTGGAATTTCAATACCCCTCTACCAGTAAGTCATAGAAATAGACAGAAAGCCAGTCAAGATAAAGAAGACGTGTAGAAAAAGTACCACGCAACTGGATGTAATCACCATTTTAGAAAAATCTACCCAACAATAGAGTAAATAATATTTGCAGGTGAAGCATTCGTTAAAATAGACCATGCACTAAGCCATTAGAGAATTTTATATTTAAAAGGAGTTAAATTATACGTATAAGACATATTTGAAATATATCAAAAATTAACACATTTCTAAATAGACCACATATAAATTAAACGAACTACTTTCAAAACTCAAAGCATAAAAGACTTCTGAAAATAACTGGAACTGAATATTAAGACTGCACATTGGAGCATATAAAAATATGGGAGATACAAATACAGCAGTACTCAGAAGATATTCACCATTTTAAACACATTAGAAAAGAAGGTAGAAAAGATGGGGGGAAACAGGAGAAATTAACAGTGAGAGTCCTCCATTAAATGGTCTAAAATCAATGATTTAAGAACCCAGTGATCTTAGATTCTACAATAAGAAGCTGGAAAATGAAATGAGCAAAGTAGAAGAAAGGAAATAATAAATATAAGAGTGGGAATATAAACAGTAGAAAAAGTATAAAAGACAAAAGCAATTAAACCAAAAGCTGGTTATCTGAAAAACCAACAACATTTAATAACCCTCTTGAGCTAGACTATCAGGATAAATGCAGAAAAGATACTAATTGACAACATTAGTAGTAAAAAAGGAGACATCACCACAGATCCAACATGTATAAAAGGAAATTAAGAGAATATCATACGAACAACTTTATGCAAATAAGCTGGACAACAAAAGATGAAACAAATTCCTTCAAAAGCACAAAACTGCCTCAGGAAAAAATAGAAAAATCTAAAGAGTCCTATTTCAATGAAAGAAACTGAATATGTAGATTAACACCTTCCCACAAAAAAATTCC